TGTGTGCATTGAATTTATTTAATACACGAGTTTCACAATTTGAGTTGAATTACTGAAATAAATGAACTTTTCCACGACATTCTAATTTATTGAGATGCACCTGCATATATATGTTATCCCAGTTATGTCAGTCTTCAAATATTTTTTTTTACTTTTTTATTATTATTATTTTCATGCAGTCCTAGTTCTGTGATTATTACAAGATATCGTAACTCCTGATTCTGACAGCTGAATTGATTTTGTGTGTGTAGATCCAGGCTCAGCCTCAGACAGTGGCCCTGACACAGGCAGCACCCGCAGCAGGTTCGGCACAGGCCCAGGTGCAAGTCACCACCGCAGCCACGCAGGCTGTGCAACAGAAGCTCCTCCAGCAGCAGGCTGTTACAGCAGCAGCCGCCTCCCCTCAAATCCAGACCCCAGCGCCTCACAGCCCTGCCCAGCAACAGAGCGCCGTGGCGGCCACCGTCTCTGAGTCTCCAGCACAGCATACCGCTGCCACCCCGCAGCCCCAGCAGGGCAAAGGAAACACCCGCACTGGGGCTGCCATGCGCTCCAAAACCCCCGCCAAAGCCAGCGGTGGCAGCTAGAGAGTCATAGGAGGAGGAAGTACCTGGGCACAGCATAGGGCTTTTTTTGGTTTGTTGTGGTTTTTTCATTTGCTTTGGAAAGACTGACCTTTTGTAATACAGGAACTCACCGTTTGACTGTCTGGATTGAGCTTTTTACAATTTGAAGCAACACTCACAAGCTAACCACGTCACATGTTAATCAAACATCACTCTGCCAGTGGCCCTCACACTATGGCCAGTCCGTTTCTTTTGTTTTTCTTTTTTACAGCTTATTAACCGAGGCTCCTTCATCAGGAGTCGAGCATGACTTTACCACAGTACGACGGCTCATTTTCATACTGAACTCTTTACCGAGCCGCCAAACGCTCCCTGTTCTTTTTCTACAATGCTACATGCTCTGTTTATACAGCGTTTAACATGTCATCACATCCTTAATGTCATGGATCAAGTGCGTTTGGATCACAACAGCCATCAGCTTCATCACTTGAACACTTCATTTGGCTTGCCGGGAACTCTTGGCAGATCGTCTCAACATTATTCATAATGTTCAATCAGTCGAATTATATGTGTGTGTGTCCCCCAATGTTTTTTAGTAGCTGTGGTGGTGTTGTCCCTTTGCTGTTTGTGTCAGTAAATATCCCTTTATTTAAGCATTTAATGATGAGAATCGAGATTAGCAAGACTCTGCGAACCAAACTCATTCTTTAGGGATGTATAAATGGCAAACTACCATTAGTTTGATACATGTGAATGCTCCCTTTCTATAAAATAATTTAATACATTAGCTTGTATCATGAAACCCCCCTAAAACGAATTCTTGTCACCATACACACAAGTTCAGCTGCATGGATGGATTCCATCTGAAAACTGACTAGTGATGTGTACTTGTGTGTGAAATGTTTGTTAAGTGGTACAATAATTCAGAATGTGATTTAACAACAAATTGATAGAAAACTATCCTGCAATGCAGCCATTTCATGGTAGCAGCTGTGGGAAGTATCACCCTCCCAACTTAGATTTGGAAGAAACGTCATTGCTGAAAACACATCTGTGAAATATTTCCGTTTTTCTTATACATAGTTATGAACAATGTCACCATTAGTCAGTTGAGTCAGACCTCAGCTTGGCTGTTAGTGTGTTTACATTGGCCTGCTATCAGTAACGAACTGACTTAAATCAAGACTTTCCCTCTGTGTATGTAAATCATATAATGTCGGGGCTTTCAGTCATAAATACGTCTTTTTGTATTGATGTTGGGTCAGGTACACATGTAAATAACTCTGGAGGGGGGACAACGGCATTTGTATTTGTAAAGTACTTGTGTATTCATTGAATTTTTTTTTTTCAGCCTACTTGTATAAAGTGTTACGTTTTTACACACGTCTTCCTTATGCTGTCTTTATTTGTCCAGATGTGTATTTGTATTTTATTCAGTAAGCTGTCTTAGATGGGTTTCGGATTACATTAAGTCAGCGGTTCTGCCTGGAGTCCATAGATATGCATTCCTGTACTTCTGTGTGTGGACTTGCTGAGTGCAGTATATGTGTCAGCACACTGGCCAACAGGGATTTCAGCAAGATAACAAATTGAATCCTGCCTGCTCAATACAAAAACACATTTTATTCCAGCAGCAATGGTTCCACAGGTGTTTTCTGCTGCTAGTTCTCATCTCTAGCAGTATATAATTGATTGCAGCCATAATCAATTGTTATTTTTCCTGTTTAAGAAGCTTACTATTGACCTAATGAATGAATGTCTGGTACTGCAAGGTGAAGTTTGCACAAGCCTTGATTTGACTAGTGTTTATGTCTTGGGTAATCCATAGGGGGGCGCTCTTTCATTTTCAGTTTTTGTGATCATTGCTGGTCTATTGCAGATTGGAGTAAAGTAGTGGTGTTTGCAAATTAAACATCACTATTCGTTTTGTTTATGGACAGGGATTTGGACAGTTTGTGCTATGGATGATGTCGCTAATCATGTTGCTTGTTGAGCAGAGGTGTGTTATTCCGTTCCCAAGCAATTGGAGGTAAGATGGGCTGGACTTCTGACTTGAACCCGTTAGTATCCATATAGCAACACTGGCAACTGCACAGCAATGCTTTTGAATTGTGAAAGCAACTTTTGCCGTGGAGAGCACCACACGCAATTCTTCGGAAAACACAAACCTGTAGTTTGAATTACTGTACTGTTGAAATGATTTTATAATTTTATCTGTGTATTATTTTAAAATAAAAAATGGTCCATTTCAGTGTACAAAACAATCACTGTTGCAGCACTATTACAGTAATATTTATTTACTTATAATATTTATAGTACTATTTCACCCAAAAATCTTATTCCAAATTTGTATGATTGTTTATATATATATTTTTATTTATTTATTTTTTTTGGGGTGGGGGGCATATAAAATTAATGTTCACCAAAAGTGTTTGGTTACCAACATTCTTCAAAATATCTGTGTCCGCATAAAAGTGTGGGCACATTTGCAAAAAAGCTTCATTTTTTGCATCTCTTGCACTTAAGTCACTTTAAATCCAATCAGCTTTCTGTTGATCAATGTAGCGAATTCGCGGGAAAAACTTGAATCCAAGTTTGAAGTCTATGGCAGCACATAGAACTGCCTGCAAATTTGGAGTCTCTATCTCAAACTCTCTAGAACAACCAATAGACCAAATTTTCACGAAAATTAAATAATTTTTTAACGTAAGGAAGCACAATTCTTTTTTCCTCCGATTCCTTGGCTCATGCAGAGTCTAATGCATACATTTTGTCAATGTCAATCTCAAGATTGACATTTTTGTTTATAATTTCTGAAGAGTTTGACAAAAAATCATAAGATTGAAATTATATTCAAACTATACCCAATTTTCCTGTCAACCATTTTGAGCGTGGACCATTTCGAATTTTGTAGTAAAATGCTGTACTTATGTACTTTATGAAATTTGGCACACAGATAGAAGACAGTCTCATCATTAATCACAGCAAATTTGGAGTCTCTAACTCGAATTCTTTAGCGCCACCAACAGGCCAAATTTACACTCATGTTTCTGCTAATAACTTTTGAACCATAAAGTCTAAAAGCAAAATTATTTTTTCTTCTGATTCCTTGGCTCATACTGAGTCGAATGCGTACCAAAATTTAAATTTCTATGGTTCAAGATTTTTTGCAATTTTGAATTTTCCTATGTTTGCCTTTTTGTGCATTGGCCATTTTGAGTTTTGTAGTAAAATGCTGTATCAACATATGTCTTTAACAGGGGTCTCCAACGCTGCTCCTGGAGAGCTTCAGCCCTAATCAAACACACCTGAACCAGCTAATCAAGGTGTTCAGGGCTACTTAATTACGGACAGGTGTGTTGAAGCAGGGTTGGAACTTAAGTCTGCAGGAAGGTAGCTCTCCAGGAGTAGGGTTGGAGAGCCCTGGTCTTTACTGATTAATTAAAGACACCTCCTTAGCGCTTCATTTTACCTCTGTTGTACTTGGCCCCTTATTGCTGCTTGCTGCTATATTTTCAGTTGTTTTTTTTTCTGGCAAAATCCATTATTTTAATAGCAATGTGACAGAATTCCTTTTGAGAGTGAAAGATTCCCCCTTGCAGATATTGCAGTTGTTTAAACTTACAGTTACCGAAAGAAAGCTGCTTGGTTTGAAAATGACTTCTGGGTGAGTGGTGCTTTGTATGTCGCTATGCTTTTGACACTAGACAATAGACACTGCACCTTTAAGCAAAATTCCAGATCACGTGGATTCCTATTGAAATTACTACAATTTAGCCTGCAAAATTTTCAGAATCAGAAATAGAATGAGCTTTATTTGCCAAGTGTGTGCAAACACACAAGGAATTTGTTGTGGGTTTTTTAGGAGCTCTTGGTACAAACATACATATATGACATTGAGAACAGAAAGAGCATTTAAATAAGAAAGAAAGAACATTTAAATAAGTCTAAGGGAAAAAAATAATAATGTGGTATACATCTGGAAAAGAAGATTTATGTACAGATCTGTGCATTATTTACTGTATGTACAGCTGTATATACAGTAAATAATGCACTTATGCAAGGATCCTGTTTGTGGACTTCAGCTCCTCATTCAACACCATCATGCTGTGTCAGAGCTGTGTCAGTTTAATCAGAACGGTATCCAGCATGATAAGTCCCTGGTTTGTCCAGATGTTGGAGGATGTAGTGCAGTCCCATGTTGACTGCATCATCCATCGACCTGTTTGCTCGATGAGCAAACTGCAGGGGGTCCAGTTAGGGTTCAGCAATGTCCTTCAAGTAAGCCAATACCAGTCTCTCAAATGACTTTATGACGTTAAAGCAACAGGTCTGTAGTCATTTAGGCCCGTGATTTTTGGTTTCTTGGGTACAGGGATGGTGGTGGAGCATTTGAAGCAGGAGGGGACTTGTTGAAGATCAGTGTGAAGATGGATGACAGCTGGATAGCACATGCTGGAGAGACACCGTCTGGGCCTTTGGCTTTCCTTATCTTCTGTTTCCTGAAGACTTTGCATACATCTTCATAGATCTTAAGTGCAGGCTGAGAAGCAGTAGGGGTAGGGGGAGGGTGGGGGTGTTGATGGCTGGGTTGTGAGACGGTCAGAGTGGGTGTGGGGTGTGAGACCAGGCTTTTCAAACCTGTAGTAAAACTCATCCAAATCATCGGCTAAAAGTTGATTCTCCACAGTGCTGGGGGATTGGGTCTAGCTGGTGATGGGTTTCAGGCCCTTCCACACTAAGGTAGGGTCATTGTTTGAAAACTTTTTTTTTTTTTAGCTTTTCATAGTAGCTTCTCTTAGCTCAGGGCTGTCCAAACCTGGTCCTGGAGGGCCGGTGTCCTGCAGAGTTTAGCTCCAACCCTAATTAAACACCTGAACCAGCTAATCAAGCTCTTACTAGGCATAGAAACTTCCAGTTCGGTGTGTTGAGGCAAGTTGGAGCTAAACTCTGCGGGACACCGGCCCTCCAGGACCGAGTTTGGACAGCCCTGTCTTAGCTACTCTTATCTCCCTATTCAGTGTGTGATGAAATTTTACTGCGCAACAGTAAATGTGACTCTACCTTAAGGGAAAGACAGTAAATGATGGCCAAAGACAGTAAATGACGACAAAAACAATTTTTTAAAATTGAAATCATCTGAGGTAATTTACCTGAAGATGGCGCCAGTCGGCGGTCACCCAGATGAGAGGAATGATACTCTGTTGCCATGGACGACGGAAAATGCTAAGAAATATTTGACTTCTGAATGTTACAATTGACCAATTAGAATCAAGTATTCCAAGAGAGTTTAGCCAGATTTGACAGGTACATTCGCACTGCATACTAACCCAGACTACCCGCAGAGCTCGTTTGATGACACTTTAAAGGGTGTAACATGAGAACAACCTTGGCAGCTTTGTTCTACAGTCTCTCCTTGTGTATCCGCGTGCTCCTAGATGTGTTTATTGGCACTGATATATTTTCCCTGGTGCGAGTGGCATGTTGGTAACGCAGGGCAGGGCTGTACCAGTAATTTGTCAGATGCTCTATCTCTCTCTGGCTGACGAGCCTTTACACACTACAGTTCAGAGAGAGAGAGAGAGCAAACGTACAGAAGAGTGTCAAATGTGAGCATGAGCAGAAGTGCGCGTTTTCTCTGTATTTCGTGCCATGTAAGGCTGCTGTGAGAAAGCCAGTGCTGTTTATGAGGGGAAGTTTTACAGCCAGCAGTGCTGCTAATGTGGGCTGAGTTTGTGTGTGTGTAGGTGTGTGTTTACTTGTTTTCTTTTCTTTTCATTTGTGAATGGTCAGTGCATTTCCTCTTAGTTGTGTAATTCCAGTGAGATTTGAGCAAACATGTTATTAACATGCCTTTCTATGCTTTAGTGGTACAAGATAAGGTAAAGAAGGCTTAAAATGACACAGTTATGCCTCAAACATGAATTGTGAAGCTGCTTTGTGTATACAGGTTGTACAGGTATGACTATACTTTTGAGGTCCAAAACGTCCTCACTATTTGAAAATGTCCTATAATAGAGTGAAACCTGTTGAACGCTGAGTAGTAAGCCCAACCTCAGTTGAAGGCTTATAAATTGGCGAAATCATCATTTAAAATATATAGCATTTTGCACAGGCTTCTATAAGAGTTATGTTTAGGTAGGGGCCTGGGGCCTGTTTCATAAAACAAGTTTACCAAATAAGCCAGGCTTATTTCAGTTAGTCTGACTTATTTTGAACCAAATCAACTGAAAATAAGTCAGACTAACTAAAATAAACCTGGCTTATTTGGTAAACTTGTTTTATGAAACAGCCCCCTGGTCAGGTGAAAACATTATTAACTTGATAGGAAACAATGTACATAAATGCCATGAAGTGTTTATACTTTTAAACAAACAAATGTGTTGCTTAAAAGTTACTGATTCTGAATAAGAATTTGTTTCATCAAGCAATGTGAACTCACAATCTTGTGGTAGTTAGTCTTTATTTACTAGTAATCTTGTGTTTAAAAAAAACATGTCTGTTGGGGAAAAAATGTTGTAGAACAAAGCATTAAAGCCTCTTCAAGTAATGTTAGCAAAGTTCTAGCTCAAAAATGCTGTTTTCAATGCTAACTTTAAGGCTTCAAACAAGCTCTATTGTTCTACAGTTATTATACATGTAGTTTTATGAACTCTTATTACTTGCTAGATATAATATAAAATAATAAAAAATATGATTATAAAAGTCTTTTAACCAGGTGCAATAGAACAAAAAGTCTTTATTTATGAAAATAACATGATAGATGCTTGTTCCTGGAGGGGAATTTCAAAGAAAATCTCATTGAGATCAACAGGATCTAAAGCTTCAACAGAGTTGTCATGACAACCTCAGACTGGCTATATATTAGGCTGCATGTGTGGGATGATGATTTGTATAGAATTTGTGTGTGTGTGTGTGTGTGTGTGTGTGTGTGTAATAACATAGGCGACACTGAATAATGTGGTCAGTTGTGCTGCGACTGTTATGGGAATGCATTTCAGACAGCCTTAATGTAATGGTGTTTTTTTCCAAGCTCAATCATGAGATGAAAGCCTGTGAGATTCACCCAATAACTTTTTACTCATGACACAGCCACAGTGAAAATGTGTAGTCTAACAGTGGTGATTTAATGTATGAAGATATGGGAAGAAAAACAATTCTCTCAGGAATCCTCCTCCACACAGCTGCTTTGCGGTCTGAAGGCTTGCGAAAAAGCTGATGAAACATTCATTAAGAAATATTTATTAAGTAATAGGACA